CTTTCTTTCTTTCTTTCTTTCTTTCTTTCTTTCTTTCTTTCTTTCTTTTTCTTTTTTTTTTTGATAAAAGGTCTTCCCCAGCCCTGCTGTGGAGCCAGGGATGACCTTGATGACCTTGATAAAACTTTGGATGAATTCCCAAGTGTTAGAGTTACAAGCATATGCTACTGGGCCAGGTTGGTGTGGTGCTGGGGTTCAAAGCCAAGGCATTGTACGTGCTACGCCAGCACTCTACCAAAGGAGCCATATTGCTAGTTCGTCTTGCACTTTTTAAAATTACACTTATTTAGTGTAACACAGGGCATACTTGGAAGTCAGAGGACATATTTTGGTAATCAGTTCTCTCCTTCCGCCATGTGGGTTGGGGTCAACAGGTCATTAGGCTTGGTGGCCAGTACCTTAGACCCACCAAGCTTCCTCACCAGCCCTGTGATACAATATGTGCTAGTGGCAGAATACTAAGGAGAAAGATGACTTAGTTGCCTGACAACATATTGTTGAAAATATTAAATGGTGAAAATTAAGGAAGTGAAAATAATATAATTACAACAACTTAAGCAGAAGCAGACTGGCAAAATAATGTGGCTAAATATCTGAGTTTATTTTTCAAATAAACTTTACACACACACACACACACTTGAGGCTTATTTGGAAAATAAATATTTATTTATTATATATTAATGAACATATATATTCATTCGCATACTTGATCGTGGAAGCATATATGTTTATAATAAATGAGTCAGAGGCAAGAAGTGTTGCGTGCTCTGACGCTGGAATTACAGGTGGTTGTGAGTCACCCAATATAACTGCTGGGAACCAACCTCAGGTCCTCTAAAAGAGTAACAAGTGTTCTTAACCACTGATCAATCCCTCCAGCTCTGCAAACAATTCACCACCTCTCTCCTTCTTTCTTTTCCTTCTCCATTCAAAAAAGGAATGCCATGGTTATTTTTTAATTAAATTTTCTTTTTAAATTAAATTTTAAATGAACTAACTGTATGTGATTGTGTGTGTGTGTGTGTGTGTGTGTGTGTGTGTGTGTGTAACATTTAGACATCTCTTTAGTTGACTGCTCCAGGAAATGTTTAGTCTTCATCGTGTTCATTTTCTGGATTGGGTAAGGTAAATTGATTTCTGACTAATACCATGAAGAGCCGCCTCAACCTAAAGAGAACTCTTTCCTCTTGAACTGCAGCTCATTGGCCTTTCCTTTTTCTTGCTCACAGGAACTGTTCTCACTAGGGGGGATCGAGTGTAATCCTTCAAGAAGACTTGACTTTCAAAGAGTTTTCATAATCGTATAGAATTGTTGCTTTCTGCACAGACCGTCGTGGGACAAGTGTTGGTGAGTTCACTTCCACTCTTCTCGTACCAATGAACTGTAGTGAACATGATCATAGTTCTCTCTGTGCTTCGATCACACAGGTAGGTGTGATCTTCCATGGTCTTAACTACGTTCAGGCAATGTGTGTAGGCTCTCTAGCCATCGTTCTACTTTGTTTTTCTCTAACAAACTTACTTAGATTTTATACTTATTATTGGCCTGTCCACTAAAAGGAAAGCTTTATTAGTACAGAGCCGTGTATATTTTGTGCTTTACATACAGATGTGTCTAGAGCATAAATACTAGAAAAACATCTATTTTGAGAGCATTGTATGCTTTGATTTTACTGTAGAGGAGAGCGGCTTAGATTAGGTGGCTAATTTTTCTAATTTTCTAGGAAGAAAGTTATGATCCAAGGGTGACAGGTTTTACCACTGCCATTTTGTAAAATATATGAGCAATGCTTCATTGCCTAGCACACAATCAACTTCCACTACCATTTAAAGGATTTGGGAAGGATACGTATTGTCTGAATCCCATGCAATACTAATTGTGTTGTATGTATTTCCAGTTTCCCTAATTTTTTTGCTGAATGATTGAAAGGGACAAGTTAAAACCTTTACTTATTTTTTTTTTAAGTTTTATTGAATGTGTTGCATTTCCCAGAGAGTTTGAAAGGTATATGCTTACTTGTCTTGTTAGTGTTAGTGTTAGGGTCCTCACTCTGCCAGTGACCACTGGAGCCACCCCTCTGGTATACAATAACTAGTGGTACTTAGTTGTGTGTGTGTGTGTGTGTGTGTGTGTGTGTGTGTGTGTGTTGGGACATCACACCTAGGACTCTACATGAATTCTACCTCCTGAGATATATCCACAGCCCTACTTTGAATATAAAATGTTCTAGTCAAATTCGAGTTTTTAAAAATACTAACTCCAGAATCTACTAAATGAATGCGCGAGACTGGTTATTAAGTTAAAACTTGGATACTTTCTGGAAGAACACATTTTGCCACACCATACATTTGAAATTGTTGACTCGTTAATGCTTGTAAAAAAATACATATTTTATTTTTATGTGTATGCCTGCATGCCTGTACTCCTGTGCCTGCAAGAGCCCTTGAAGGTCAAAGAAAGGCATCAGATTTTCTGGAACTAGTATTATAATTTCAAGTCTTCATGGGGGTGCTTCGAACTGAACTTCGGCCCTCTGCGAAAGCAGCAAGTGCTTTTAACTGCTGAGACATCTCTCCTTCCTCTTACCCTTATTTTGCTTAATTCAAAGATAGTTTCCACTTTGTGTTTAAAAGTTTAATATGTAAAACAAAGTGGCAGAGGTGGGCCTGGAAGAATCCACTCATTACAGTAAGTTACTAATTTGAATGAGTGATTGTTGCCATTAAAAAATACAACAACAAGACTAGAATTGTTTTTCTTCTAACACATTTTGAGTATAATTATGGGGAACATGTCTGTTTTCAGGAACAGGGCAGAATGGGCTGATATAGACCCAGTACCACAGAATGACAGCCCTAATCCAGTGGTCCAGATCATCTACAGTGAGAAATGTAAGTTTGTGTTTATTAGGAAAATCTCTGTAAATTAAACTTCTAACAAAGTTGAAATTTACAACCATATAGCATGAAAAAAAGAGAGATTTTTCTTTAATGAGAATCTGAATTATTTTTGGTGAGTTAATGTTATTTTCTTTGTCATTTGTCTTAATACTTTGTTGAAGGAATAGAAATATTCTAAGTAATGAATGTTACATTATAATACGTAATAGCTATTATATGGTTGTACTTTAATTTGCATTTAGAACATAACAAATGAATTACTGTTTTATTTAGACTAAGCTTTAGTTGCTCAAGGACCAGCATTTTAAGATGTATTTTAGCTGTGTAGTGTTGGCCTCAGTTGACATGCATGTGCTGACCTTTTCTTTGACAAAGTAGCCTTTTCTTACCACGAATGTGACCTGTTTTGTAAGTGGGAGGTCGTGCAAATGTTGATTGTTCTTCTATGAAAGCATATATAGATGAAATGAAATGCTGTTTTTGTAATTTAATGTTTTTTATGTTCAGATGTGTATATACTTTTTCTTTCAGTTAATACTTTGTTTTCTAAGATCATTCCTTTTTGCAAAAAGCATGCATTTACTTACTGCTTATTAAGTTATGGGAAGAACTGTTTGAAAAGGAAGAACAGTGGTATGGGGGTTGCCATATATGAAATGAAAATATAGTACCAAACAGTTAACATGCCATACTGGTATAGAAATCAGAAGGGGTAAGCACTGAAGTAAGTCATCAGTATATATGAGGCCTTACTGTGTGATTGAAAAGCATGTTTCATTCTTTTATCAATGGCTTGATCCTCTTGGCTATGCATTTAGATAAAAGCATAATTATATCACTGTCTCATATCTTAATGAACATGGATGTAAAGACAAATTAATGTTCTGAGACAAAAATAAGCTCTATGCAAGTATAAGAGAGTCAGCTTGGGTGAGAGTGTAGCTCTGTAGAGCATTGCCTACAGAGTATATGCAGGGTCCTGCATTTGATCCCCAGAAGACAGCAAGAGACATTCTCAACCCTCTGTAAGCAGGATAAGCAAAGAAAATGCTACTTACGTCTTATTGTGATGCAAACATTATGAGATTAGATATAAAATACTCTATATTAAGGAAAATTTCAGAGCATATAATTATATGAAAATGTTTTCTGAAATATCTCACATAATATTTTAGAAGAAATAGAAATACACAAAAATGTCTCCCTCACTAGTGATGAGAAATGTAAACCCCAAACCTTTTCAGATTTGTAAGGTTTCTTGGGGACAGGAGGGAGACCGAGTCTCATGTTAGCTCTGGCTGACCTAGAACTCACTGTGAAGATCAGGCCTTGAATTCAGAGAGATCCACCTTCCTCTGCCTTCTGAGTACTGGGCGGAGGTATTTTCTCAGTTGAAGTTCCTACTTCCTAGATAACCCTAGCAGTGTCAAGTTGACAATAAATTAAACTTATCAAAAATTGGAAGGTAAATATACCAAAGTTTAAAACTTACACAGTTGCAGAACCATGAGTTTAAAAGCAAGCAACATTATGGGAAAAGATACGTTATAGAAAACAGGATTGCTAATCAGAATTTGGTAAGGAACTCTTAGACAAGAATGAAGAGACAACATTAAAAAATATGAACTGAAAAGCAACAGAAAATGGAAATCCATTAGCCATTAAATAAAATCTGTTGTTATTGTTAAGGATAGAAGATATAAAAAATAAAATAAGGGCCTATATAGACCTAGGAATAAAGTGCTATCTAACGTTGAAACTGTCCTAGCTCCGTCCCTTATAACGGCACATAGTAGTTCTCAGATGCTGACATTTTTGGAAAGCAGTGCGATAGAGCTGTAAAAATTAGGAAGTAGTCAAGTCTTATAAACTTATGCTAAAGTTGTTTTTCTTTTAAGATTTACTTTTATACAGATGGCTGTTTCTGTCTGCATGTGTGTCTGTGCATCATATGCATGCAAGTGTCCATGGAGGCCAGAAGATGGCATAGAAACCTCTGGAGCTGGAATTGCAGAAAGTTCTGAGCTGTCATGTGAGTGCTGAGGGCCAAACCCAGGTCCTCTGTGGGAGCAGCAGGTACTCTTAACTGCTGAGCCGAGGCTTCAGCCTCCTGAATGCCACTTCTAATATGTGTTCTGGCCTCGCCCTAGCATATGGCATAAGGGAGGTGCTAAGGAGATGCCATGCAGACAAGAGCAAAGGAAGGGCCTGAGTTCTTTCTCAGCACCCTCACAAAGCAGCTCATAACCACCTGTAACTCCAGCTCCAGGGACTCTGGCTCCCATGGATACCTGAGTACACATAGTCACACTAAATGAAAAGAAAAATAACTTTTTTTTTTTTAAATGTTATGTGCCAAGGATTAAGAGCAGAGACTTTGGAGTTCAACTACCTGACTTAAATTCTGACATGTTCATTTACTGGATCTCTGTCCATGAACACCGTTTAACCTCTCTGTAGTTGACACCCATAGAGAAATGTAGATGAGGACAGTGAAAGCAAGTGTTCCAGAGAGAGTGAATTTCTTACATACACACTACAGTGCTTGGCTCATAGTTAGCAACAAGAATATCAGTTGTAAAAATATGCACCCGTTTTGAATCATCAAGATCAAGGAAACCACCTATGTAGAGAAATAGATTAAAAATAAAGCTGGAACCATATAACCATTTATTAGACTTAGAGCAGTTATAACATGAATTTTACAGAAGGTATTTGTGATATTTAGTTTGGCATTAACCTATAATACATGTGGTAAGCATGATTAGACTTCCATAGCTCATGTGTTGTGTCTGTGACACTGAATATTGTCCGAGTGGCACTCACTGTCATTTGCCTCTGCTGACATGGCACACAGCTGTAACCCTAGCTCCTGGGAAGCAGGAAGGTTAGGAGTCAAAGCCGGCCTTAGTTATATAGAAAGTTTAATCTAGCCTGGTATGCGTGAGACACTGTCTCAAAAAATTAATAATATAATAATAAAACAGTCCAGCCACCCAACTGTTTGGCTGTGTTTGCTTCCTGGTATAAATGATGCACATGCAGATAATATGTACATGTAAGTACAGTGGATTTTAAACCGTGGTACTTGTGTGTCCTCTCTCCAGTTAGAGATGTTTGTGATTACTTCCGAGCTGTTCTGCAGCGCGATGAAAGACGCGAACGAGCCTTTAAGCTCACCCGGGATGCTATTGAGTTAAACGCAGCCAACTATACAGGGTGGTAAGTAATGGACGCCATTAATATTTACTGCTAGCAGGACTCGGGTTTGAGTCTGTGACTCCATTTTTAACTGAATTTTAATTTTCATCAAAATAATAATTCACGTATTTGTCTTAAAGTCTGTTGAATGAAAAATAGCAATCTCTGCCCCATTCTTTTGTGCCACCAGAGTCCCTTTCCATTTTCTTGAATTAACTTCTGTGTACAATATAACACTGTGCTACTGTTTGGTTTTGCATTGTCGAAATAATTCTTTCTCTGGAAGTTGCAGAGTTAGCTGTACTTCTTTCTGCAACAAATGAGTTATACTTCGTGCTATCCATGTTTTGTAGTACAATTACATGTCCTTTAATAAATTGCTGAAAGGAGTATTTTTAATTTTTTAACTTATATTTGTGTGACACATCACAGCGCCCTTTGGGAGTCAGTTCTTTCCACTGTGTGGGTCTCAGGGATTGAACTCAGGTCATCAGGCTTGGTGACACCAGCTCTGTTTTTGTTTTTTAAGACAAGGATCTAGTATAGTGCAGGTTGGCCATGAGCTCAGTAGGTAGCTGGGGATGATTTGTGATCTACAGTATCTACTCTCAGGTGCTGAAATTCCATCTTCGTGCCTCCATGCCCAGTTTCATGCATGGTAGGCAAATACGCTGTATATTGAGCTGTAGAGCCAGCTGAGATTTCTCTTCTGTCTGGTTTAGTTTCCTTTGTGGCAGTAATTCCTCTCCCAGACTCTGACCTGTAAATATTTCTTTACTATTGAATGTGTCACACTCTGATATCTATTCAAACCTTATAAATCTATTGTCTTTTACTATTTTTTGATTTTTAATGAAAAAACAAAAGACAAAAAAACCCCTCAAAATGTCACTGTGCGGACCAAGCTGCCCATAAGCACACAAAAATCTGCCTGTGTCTGCACACACGCACCCTGTCCCCAGTGTTGGAATTAAGGTATGAACCACCACACCCAACTATTTTTCTTGATATACTTTCTCATTTTGTAGAGTACATCCTTGAGTAGAAGAAAACTTAGAAAAGATTGTATGGGGGCCTGGAGAGATGGCTCAGTGGTTGAGAGCACTGGCTGCTCTTCCAAAGGTCCTGAGTTCAATTCCCAGCAACCACATGGTGGCTCACAACCATCTGTAATGAGATCTGGCACACCCTTCTGGAGTGTGGACATACATGGAGGCAGAATGTTGTATACATAATAAATAAATAAATCTTTAAAAAAAAGAGAAAAGAAAAGATTGTGTGGATAAAGTGTTTGACATGGGGCTGAAGAGATGACTCAGTGGTTCAGAGCACTGGTTTTGTTTGGGTTGGCTTGATTTGCTTGCTTTGGGTTTTGGGGATTGTTTTTGTTTTTTTAGAATGGGTTTCTCTATGAAGCCCTGGCTGTCCTGGAACTGTCTGTAGGACAGACTGGTCTTGACCTCTGAGATCTGTCTGCCTCTGCCTCCCAAATGCTGGGATTAAAGATGTGCTTGTTGCTCTTACATAGGACCAGGATTTTATTCCCAGCAGCCATGGTAGCTCACAACCATCTGTTTGTTACTCCAGTTCCAGAGGATCTTATGCCCTCTTCTGGCTTGTGCACATATGGTGCATAGATATACATGCATTAAATATATTTTTAAAAATATATAAATATTTTTACAAGTAATGTATAAAACATGTTAAAAATTATTAAAATACATTAAAATACTTTTTTAAGTTTGAGATTTATTTAATTAGAAGGTTTTTGTCTTAAGCCTTTATCTTTACTAATAGATTTCTACATTGGAAGCTTTATTCTTTTAGAATTTTGCAATTAATTTTTTTTTTAAACTGCTGTTGTGGAGAAGATTCCTATTCCTCTTTTAAACCTTTTTTTTTTAATTTAATTTAATTTTTTAAAAATGTGTATGAGTGTTTTGCTTGCATGTGTATCTGTGTACCACATTCCCGGTTTCCTCCGAGGTCAGAGGAGGGTGTGGGCTCCCCTGGAACTTGAGTTAGAGAATGGTTATAAACCACCATGTGGGACTGAACCCAGGTAAGAAAAGGTGTCTTAAGCACTGAGCCATCTCCCAGTCCTAAACCTTGTCTTGACCTCTTACGTTGTAGGTTTCAGTGCTCTTCCCTTCTCTGTCTCCTTACTGGATTGACTTTTAAGTTGCATATTAAACCTCCAGTACCATCTTTTCTTACTCTGTTGTTTCTTTTCTTTAGTTTATTTTACCTCGTTTTTCTTTTGAAGACATGCTCTAAATATGTAGCCCTGGTTGGCCTGGAATTCTCTATAACCCAGGCAGCCTAACCTCAGAGTTGTACCTGCCTGTGCTTTCCAAGTGCTGGGATTAAAGGTGTGTGCTCAGCATACACTGTAGAAAGACTTACTTTATTTGTAAGTAATATTCTGGTAGTGGTTCTAAACTACAATATTTTGATAATGTTTGTAATGTTATTAATTATTATATAGATAACTATATCCTATAGAAAAGAACATGTCTTATTTTTTATTATAGAATGCCAGAATCCAGAATATTACCTGAAAATAACAGTTTAGTTACTTGTCTTCCCATTCCTTCAAGCTCAAAACTTTCCTTTTTCTCTATTTTGTGTTTGTTGTGTGTTTCTCTATTTACACATGAAATACTTGGTTCTTCCAGTTCTAGATGTATGAATTTGGATGATTATAAGTTCTTAGATTGCTAAATTATTGGCTGTGTAAAGTAAGTACCAGACTATTGTCTATAAATTATGTTATTGTATTGTAGCTTTATTTGGTATTCTTGCTAGGCAACTTGTGTGGAGTAACCAGAGTGAATGCTTGCTGTTTTGCTATAGGCATTTTCAGAGAGTTCTCTTGAGGTCACTTCAGAAGGATTTGCAAGAGGAAATGAACTACATCACTGCAACAATTGAGGAACAGCCCCAAAACTATCAAGTTTGGTAAGAGGAAAACAGGAAGGATGTATGTCACTCTGCTAATGGCATTTGGCACTGGGAGCTGAGATTTCTTTATCATCTTAGTCATTTACATTCAGACTGTAATCTGCCTTGTAGGATTATAAGTTTCAACCTTAGGAGCAGTACTGCTAGAGTAGTAAAATTATGAAAATTGTTTTCTAGTCAGCATAAAATAACTTTTATATTTGATACTTTATTCTTTTATCCAAAAATGTTTATTAGTTTTGTGGATACAGAGAAACTAGAAACAGTCTAAAGGTGAGAACGAATAACAAAACCAGTTATTTTCAGAAGCATCGTGAAAAACATGATGGTAAGGATTTTCATGGGGTACATTCTGTAGCAGTCCATCCCATGCGATAGCTGGTGGGAGAGCAGAGAGCAGCAGGAGAGAGGAGTTGGTGTCCAGACACCCCTGCAAGGGCACACTCCCAGAGACCTGACTTTCATCGGGGGGTAGGGTATGGACAACAGAGAGAAAGGTCTGAACTTGGGAGAGCACTCGTCAGACTGTACCTGAGCAGCAGACACTGCTGCTGTTCCAACTGTGTGCTGTGGTGCTGACTGAGTGGTGGTGCCAGGGGGAGAAAGAGCCCTGTGGGGAAGACTTCTGAGCAGAAGAATGAAAGAGCACCATGCACTCAGGGATGTGCATATAATTCCATGTGACTGGACTACATTTCAGGAGTCCTTGAGATACAGGAAGAGTGTGATCTTAAAAGACCTAATGAACACTAATATAGATTTGGGCTGACCAAAGTGGGGGTTGAGACATGTCCTTGTTGTGTAACCATGCCTGACCTGAAACTGGGTAAGTGGACTAGACCAGCCTTGAACTTGTGATGCTCATGAGATTATAGATAGGCATGTACCGCTATGCGTGGTGATGCATTTTAATTAAGGAAATGATGTGATCAAGTTTGTGTCTTGTAAGCTGTGTTAGTCAGCTTTCTATGCCTGTAACACTTAGGTCATCAGTTTGTAAGGAAAAAAGCTTTCACTTGGCCCATGAAATCCAAACTGTGGTTGGCTGGCCAGTTGGTGTTGGGCTGATCTCAAGGCCTACATTATGGTGGGGGTGGGCATCTGGGGAGAAGGAAGCTGCTTGCTATTGCACCAGAAGCAGAGAGACAAAGGAGAGCACGCTGGAAATGCCCTGAGTCTTTACCTCTCAGAGTCCACCCCCAGAGATCCTTCCTCCAACACCACACCTCCCAAACCTTCCCAAACAGTGCCACCAAATGGGGAACAAGTGCTCTGTTCAAACACATGAGCCTTGATCTCTCTTTTCTCCCTTCTTCTTCTGTTCATACTCTCTGCCTGCCAGCCCTGCCTATCCTTTCTCTTGCCTCACTATTGGCCATTCAGCTCTTTTAGACCACCAGGTGTTTTAGACAGGCAAAGTAACACAACTTTACAGAGTTAAAATAAATGCAACATGAAAGAATGCAACAACACATCTTTGCATCCTTAAAACAAATGTTCCACAACATAGACAAATGTAACACATCTTAAAATAATATTCTACAGCAGGTCCTATTTTGTATTGTTTTTCTGTGTTTTTCTTTTGGTTTTTGGTTTTCCAAAGCAGAGCTTCTCTGTGTAACAGCTCTGGCTGTCCTGGAACTCACTTTGTAGACTAGGCTGGCCTTGAACGCAAAGGTCCACCTCCTTCTGCCTCTTGAGTGCTGAGATTAAAGGCCACCTTACTCAGTTTCTTCTTTTATTAAGTTCTCACTGTGAAACTCTGCTGTAAACTGTTCCTCTCTGTTTAAGTCTTTAGATCACAGAATATTAGGGAAATATTGTTTTGTCCTGAGAAGTCAGTTTTGTAAAACTTACAGAACCCTGGGATAAGAAATTGTTAGTAATAATCAGTGACTGGGAGAGTTGTAATAATAAATCTAGAAGTCTTTCTACCCAGGATGTTCTTTTTCTTTTCTTTTTTTTAAAATATTGATTTTATTGAACTATACATTTTTCTCAGATCCTCTCCCTGTCTCTCCCCTCCCCTTCAACCCTCTTCCAAGGTCCCTGTGCTCCTAATTTACTCAGGAGATCTTGTCTTTTCCTACTTCCCATGTGGATTGGCTCCATGTATGTCTCTCTTAGGGTTCTCATTGTTGTCTAGGTTCTCTGGGATTGTGATTTCTGGGCCTGTTTTCTTTGCTTTATGTTTAAAAAGCACTTATGAATGAGTACATATGATAATTGTCTTTCTGAGTCTGGGTTACCTCGCTCAATTTAATGTTTTCTAGCTCTATCCATTTGTCTGCAAATTTCAAGATGCAATTATTTTTCTCTGTTGTGTATAAATGTACTCCATTGTATAAATGTACCACATTTTTCTATCCGTTCTTTAGTTGAGGGGCATTTAGGTTGTTCCCACTACCTAGGATATTTTTTTATTGATAATATTTTGCCTTTTTCATATATGTGAGATGAATTCCTTAGGTTTTTCATCCATGTAGTATAGGTTACTAATTGGGCGTTGACTTCTCCTTTTTCATGTCACTCCTCATTAGTATAATAAATACTATAATGTTTTTTAAAGATTGATATTATTCCAGTACATGTCACACACATGCAATTTGTAGCATATAAACCAGAGATATTTCTAGACTATCTATAAACTAGATATTTCTAGACAGGTATGTGTTACACCGTGATTCTGTTTTTTTCCTAGTCATGTGAGGATGAAACCCAGAGTGACACATTCTAGGCAGATGCTCTAGTGTTGAGCTAGCTACCAAGCCACACAGTGCATCTTAGAATCTTAGGTGTGTGTAACTTTTTAGAGCAAGGAAAACTGAAAATGGAATCCAGTATATATCACAAGTATTTTTATAACACAGAAATTGTCTTGTGACAAAGTTGTAACTTGCCCTAGTTATATATTTTTTGGGGCAGAGGTAAGTAAGTTCTGCCAAACTGGTAGAGGGAAAAGTCTCCTGCAGGTGACATTTGAACATAGTGATAGCTGACTAGGTTGCAGTAGAGAGTCATACTGGGTGGACTAGTTTCACATCTCTCGCTCATCTATATGCAGTGCTTCAGAATCCTGCACAAAAGTCCTAGGCTTTGAAAGCTTACTGTCCTTGCAAGTCTGGTTAGAGAGAAGTCATACCTGCTTGAGCACATCTGTCACTGTGCCTCTCAGCTCCCGGTGTGCTGGCATTCTCTGTCACTTAATCTCTTTCTGGCAGTGGTGAGAATTTGTGCCTCTTGAATGCCCAGTGCATCACCTCATGTAGCACCTGCAGCTGATGTGTCATTGGAGTTAACCTGAGCTCTCCCCCTTCTTTCTCAGGCACCATCGGAGAGTCGTAGTGGAATGGCTAAAAGATCCCTCTCAAGAGCTTGAGTTCATTGCTGATATTCTTAATCAGGATGCAAAGAATTATCATGCATGGCAGTATCGACAGTGGGTCATTCAGGTACTGCCTTCCTTAGGGTCTAAGTATGCATCTGAATGGTGATCTTGATTTTTTGACTTTCCTACCTTTGCTTTCCAAGTGCTGGGATTCTACTACATTCAATTTTATGCGCTAGTGGGATTGAACCCAGCACTTCCTGCATGCGAGGCAGTCTATGAGCTTGGTATACCCCAAGCTCTAGTATTTTTATTTTTATTGAAAACTGTAATCAGCTAAGTATGATGGTTTCATATTTATAATCCTAGCACTTAAGGAGGCAGAGACAGGCAGATCTCTGAGTTTTAGGCCACCCTGGTCTACATAAGCAAATTCCATGCCAGACTGGGAGACATAGCGTGACCCTGTGTCAAAAACCAAAGCAAATAGAAAAGAAAATTGTAATTACATAAAACTGTGTGTTACACACAAATATGCACACACCCATGTCTCCTACCTATCACAACAACCTAAATACAGTATTTCCAGTGTCTTTGAAAAGCTACCTCATGTGGTATGTTTTTTACTGACTTCTCAGAGGTTCCAAATGACAGGAGTACAAGAGACCCTTGAGTTACACTGTAGCCTTTAAGTTCCTATAACTATTCTAAAGTTTCTTCTCTTTTTACATTCAATATGTGTGGTTTCATGCTTTCAACCCAATGTTTAGAAGACAAGATTAGTTTCAACTATAAGAGACAAGTGAACTCTGAAACCTGGAGAAAATCTGTACATTGTTCATGCTAAATAAAATGGAAAGAGGTGTGTCCTCTCAGGTGCGGTGGCACATGCCTGTGTCCTCTCAGGTGCGGTGGCACATGCTATACTCCCAGCACATGGAAAGTAGGAGCAGGAGGATCAAGAACTCAAGGCCAGCATGGTCTACATAAGATTCTGTCTCAAAAATAAAAAAAGACAATGTCTTCAGTTTGAAAGCGAGACATACAGATCCTTAGAAGTCTATAAGACAGTGGAGTGCAGAGAAGGCTCAGTGGTTAGGAGCTCTTGCTGCTCTTGCAAAGACCTAATTTGGTTACCAGCTTCAGTCCACAACTGGTCTGTAATTCCAGTCCCAGGAGATCTGATGCCCTTTTCTGCCCTCCATGCACATGGTACACAAACATGCACGCAAGAAAAACACTCATACACATAAGATTAAAAATAAAGGAAAACCTATAAGCCAGTGTTTCTCAAGCAGTGGTGCTTGGGGATAGTCGGCAGGACTACACTAATAGGGCTCACTTCCATCATTCATCAGCACAGAATTAGACACCAAATGTTCCCTTAGTTTCTTATTTTCAATGTGACTTTTAAAATTAGGAACCAGCTTACTGAAACTTTTACTCTTGCTAGTGTCCAATAAGAAATAAAAATACATTAGCTTTTTCAAAATGCCCTAATCATAAAGTGAAACTTCAATACAATTTTGTGTATTTCTCTATGTGTATTTTCAGGTAATTTTATCATGCATTTGCTTTTAAAAATTTGCTTTTAAAAACAAAAATTACATATTTTGTTTTTGAGACAAGAATTCAATCTGTAGCTCCAGGTAGCCCCGAATTCTTGATCCTCCTGCCTCGGCCTCCTGAATGCTGGGATATGGGTCTGTGCTCCCACTCCTGCTTACATATGCATTTTGTCATGCTGCTCTCTATTTAATGTTCCGTATTAATACCAAATTGCATTAACTTGTGTGCTCGTAAAGTTACTCAGTCTTTTCCTAGTTTTGTTATTATTCATTTTTGTTTGTTTAAATTTCCCATCTAAATTTTCTTTGATGACTTCTGTTTATTTAGTTTGTGACTTTGTGGGATCTGTGTTTAGTTTTTTTTTCTTTTGTTTTTAAGACAATGTCTTACGTGTGGCCCGGGGGGTCCTTGAATTTATAGAGCTGAGAATGAGCTTGAATTTCTAATCCTCCTGCCTCCACTCTCTGAATGCTGGGATCACAGGCTGCTCTACACATATGATAACCCCCTTGTCTTCAGGCCTACCTTTTTAACTTTGCTGACATGGTGCTTGTTTTTCGTTTGTTCATGTTGTTGTTATAAATAATAGGACATTTCTGAGTGGATTTTTTTTTAACTTTTGACTTTGAGATAATGAGTATGTAGACCAGCTTCTCAAAGAGGATGTGAGAAATAGCTCTCTCTGGAACCAAAGACATTTCATCATTTCCAATACTACTGGTTACAGTGATCTTCTGTGTTGGAAAGAGAAGTCCAGTGAGTATCTGCCTTCACTTATTCCTTCATTATTAAAAATGTGTGTGCCAGTCACATCTCAGGCACTCAGACGCTGCAGAGCCAAGGCTTGCCCAGTTCTGCCCTTATGGAGCCTCAAATGGGGCAGATTTGGGAAGCAGCACTCATGGATAAATTTGCATGTAATGCGGTATATCTCTGTGTTGCAGCCCCTTCAGTTTCTTGACTTGTTGCTTCTAGAGATTATGAAGTCCAGTTTCATAATGCCAGGAAATTTCATTCTGGATCTATTTTCACTAAATTCTTGAATTTTAGTTAGTCGTTCCCAAATGCCGTGATACTCTTATGTTGTGTTTTTGGCTGGCCAAGTGTGGAGTTGCTCTGTCCATTGACTCTAGTTGTTAAATTGCGCTCCTAGCTTTAAACAGAGATCACTCCAGACATTGCCAAATGTAGCTTTGTGGTAAAATCACACAGGCACGCAAGCATATACAAGAGCTGCTGTATGTAAAGCTGTAAGAAGTAGACATGTGCAGTTGGAAAGAGTTTTATGTCGGTAAACAGTAGTAGTCTCTACCCTTCACCCTTACTTGTTTATTTTGTTTCAGTGTCTGTTTCACACTTTGAGCATGCGTAGTTGGTGTTTGTTTTAGTTTTGGCTTTTAACTTCTTTTTAGATTTATTTATTTTATTGTATGTGTGTGAGTGTTTTGCCCAAATGTATGTCTCTGTATGACATATACCTGGTGCCCATGGAGGTCAGAAGAGGCATCAGATCCCCTGGAACCTGAGTCCTGGGAGGTTGTGAGTCACTGATCCTCTGCAAGAGTAGCAAGTACTCTTCACCTCTGAGGCAATGCTCCCCAACTGCTTCTTAAAATGGACCTTCCTTTGTAGCCCAGGCTGGTCTTTAACTTGAGAGTTTCCTGCCTCATCTTCTTGAGTGTTGGGATTCTGGGTGAGCAACACCACACTTAAGAATCTGATTTTGACCCAAATAAATAGTGGACTTAAGAGAAAATGTCTGTTCATTAGGTTAGATTTTCAAAGACCTAAAATACTGAATATAAAGCATATGGAAAATTCACACTTGTTTCCTCGCCTTCTGCTGTGAGAGAGAAATGAGCAAGAAGTGGACTTTCCCTAATTAAGGTAAGTTCCCTAAAGATGCCAAAAATAATATTTAAAATGTTAGTAATAGTTTATCAAGAATTTATAGTATGTTAATTAAAATTTTAACTCTTAAGTATATGGGTGAATAAGTAGATTTGATTATAGTTTCCTCACTCTTTCCCCCCTTTTATTATAAAAGTAGTGTAGTATATTTATGGGAGAAAAGTATACTGAGTTAAAGTAAGTTTAAAGACAAGATTTCTTACTCTTGAGCTTGAGATGTAGTTTAGTTGGTAAAGCATTTGCCTAGCATTGCAGAGTCAAGGATTTGATCCCCAGCACTGCAGAACACCAAGTGTGCTGGAGTGCGCACTGTGTTCTGGAGCGGTGTGAACTGTGTGCCGTATGCTGGAGCGGTGCACGCTGCGTGCCATGTGCTGGAGCGGTGCACGCTGTGTGCTGGAGCAGTGTGCACTGTATGCCGTGTGCTGGAGCTGTGCACGCTGTGT